CCCAGTTGATTCTTGACACGTCTTGGTATTCGTCAATACCGAGTCGATACGATGCCAACACAAGATCATAGCGTCCTCTTAGTTCATCTGGTCTTCCATTCCATGGAGGAATGAAGAATGATCTGGGTTTGGACGACTTCAGAATCGCAAAGTCCAGCAGAGAGCTGCGAGCAACAACTTCAACAGCTTCAATACCTTCCTTCAACGCCAGAGACACCATGCTTCCCACAGTGTGTTGCTCCGTTAGGTTATGGTCGCATGTCACCGCTAGAGTCGGGCTGAAAAACACACCCATTCCAACACCGTTGCGTTCTTCGTCTTCTTCCACGATCACAAATACTGCCTTTTCGACTTGTTCTTGAACGTTTGGCTGGATAAAATAGCGTGAATCGCTTTCTGCACGCTTCGGCAGTTGCACAATGAGCGCATTCTCTCCATTATTCCCATACGCCGTCACTGGGGACCACGACTGGGGCAGCAGCACGCTTCGCTTCGCATCGTACTCCGCTCGGTTCGCAAAGACTGTGAGATCGGACGCAGCAATCCCTGCGAGGTGACTGTCTCTGAACTTCTCCTTTACCGCATCCCGCAACGTATCCACATCTTCAACATCCACCCCGACAGAAGTCGTCGATGTGAGATCCTTGCCGTTCTCGCCCACGAGCAGGAACCATTTCCGCGCCACCATCCCTTCTACGCGAGGCGCACTAACGAAGTAACGTGAGACAGCTGGTACATCAAATTGACACAAACTTTACATAGAACTACACAACGCTAAACGAATCGACCAATTAAAGACCAGGACGATCGAAGACGAACCAAACGTGACCCGTGTGACAGTATCGTTGTTTAAATCAATCGAGACGGATATACATGATGCCCCATGATTCATGGGGCACGGGTTGGCGATGGATGCAATCGACGCGTTATTGAGCGGCAATTGACGTATGCGCTAGCTGACAAGCGGATGCCAACGAAGACCAAAGGATTTAAGGAAGAAAGGTGCTCTAGCGGTAATGATCAAGGGAAGTGATTTCTGTATCAGCCTGCAGACGGGTCTCCGTCCGAAGATGCATTTCTGTGTCTGGAAGATGCGACGAAGGGCTTCTTTCACGAGGTTCATCAGTGTAAATGCGTCGAAAGGGAATCTATCACTGGACGTTTTCGAGCAAGAGCGGTTGAAGGCTGCTGGTCCCGACGACCTATTCATCTTATATTGCACGAGCCTAGTGACGGTTGACCTATGGTTGCTGCCGAACTACGCATTTGTTGATGCCACCTGCTGGGAAGCGTACTACGGTCCATTTGCTGCTCGTGCACACTTCATCAAGTCTGTTCCGTTACCGTGCATCAACACGAGCTCCGAGGTTCAGCTGGA